ACACTCATACACTGCTGGTGGGACTGCAAACTAGTACGACCTCTGTGGAAAGCAATACGGAGATATCTCAAAGAGATACAAGTAGAACTACCATTTGATCCAGCAATCCCATTACTGGGCATCTACCCCAAAAAACAAAAGACATTCTATAAAAAAGATATCTGCACTCAAATGTTTATAGCAGCACAATTCACAATTGCAAAGATGTGGAAACAACCCAAGTGCCAATCAATACATGAGTGGATTAATAAAATGTGGTATATGTATGTATACCATGGAGTTCTACTCAGCCACAAAAAACAATGGTGATATAGTGTTAAGGAAAACCCCCCTCTATTACCTGGCGCATCAGCCACCTGAAACCCCCACCCCTCATGGAAGACCCTCACCAACATAATACTAACCTATTACCTGACACATCAACTAACCTATTACCTGGTGCATTAGCCACCTGAGACCCCACCCCTCGGACCACCCCAACTTAATAAAAGTAGGAAAAATTGGATAGACGGGGCTCAAAATTTGGTGGTGAGACCCCTCTTAGCCCGCCAGCGAATAAACCTTGTTTCTCCGACTCTCCGTGTGCCGCTCAGTTTGTCCTCGGAACCACTCGCTTTAACACTTGCTGTAACAATAGCACCTCCTGTATTATCCTGGATAGAGCTGGAACCCTTCTACTAAGTATCCCAAGAATGAAAAAACAAGCACCACCTGTACTCACCATCAAATTGGTTTTAACTGATCAACACTTAAGTGCACATATAGTAATAACATTCATCGGGTGTTGGGCAGATAGATGGGAGGGGGGAGGAGGCGATGGGTATATACACACCTAATGGGTGCACTGCACACCATCTGGGGGATGGACATGCCTGAAGCTTTGACCTGGGTGGAGCAAGGGCAATATATGTAACCTAAACATTTGTACCCTCATAATATGCTGAAATAAAGAAAAAAAAAAACAAAAAAGAAAAGTGACTTAGGGAGTCAAGACATTTACCCACAATTCAAAGATAATAAGATTTTGAACCTTTCTATCTTAAATGTTTTACTCCAAAGCCACTTCCCTAAATTAAGTAGACTAAGTTACTTAATAATAACATTGATGATAATAATAGCTCATATTATTGAGATTTACTACATGCCATGTTCAGTACCTGATTAAGATCAATTAATTCTCAAAACCCTAGATGAAACAGGTTATGATTATTACCCCATTTTAAGTATTTGAGGCCTACAGAAGCTAAATAATTTCCAGAGTTACACACAGTAAGAGGCAGAATTAAATTTGAGCTCCAGCAGGCTGACTCCAGAGCCTGAGCTCTTAATTTGACAAGAGTTAGCGTCTGACTAGATGTGGGGCGGTAAGGGAAAACAGCATGCCATGGGTGACACCGAGGTTTTTAATGGAACCACTTAGTAGATGGCAGGACCATTTACTAATACAGACAATGAAAGATAACTGAGCAACAACAAAAATATGACAAGAAAAAATATACATATAGTTTAAGGATAACAGAATATAGTGGGGAAGAAAACCCTCAAAATAATAAGTTTAATAATAAATTTTAAAATCTGGATTGTAATCTCAGCTCCACCATTTATTAGCCCTTAAGATTCTGGGCAAGCCACCATTTCTTTAGTCTTATTTTCCTTATTTATAAAATAAAATACACATTTCATTTGATTCTAAAGTGTTCTTCACACACACACACACACACACACACACACACACACACACACACACACACATATACTTTAACATCTCTGCAATCACAACACATCTGATAATCAATGGTATCTTCAAGCTTATGAATTGCAAATGCTGAGGTGAGGACGCCATGAACTGGTGTGCGTGTGCACATGTGCACACACTATGCATTTTTTGGAAACCAGAAAGTACCACAGAAATGTAATCTTTAAGAGGCTATTGACTCCTGGCCATCTCTACTAGCATGTCTTGTCATCACCCCAAATCAAGTTTAAAAACCAGACTCAATCTTTTATCGTCAGCAAATTCACAAACTACTAATCAAGTACCGTAAGCCAGGGCTGAAAATCTTGAGAGTCATCTTACATAGCTACATTTTTTTCCCATAATACCCTGTTACCAGATCCTATATGTTCATTATTTATCTCATTTTCCTTACCACTTACTATTTAGACAAGCTACTATCTAATAATATATTTCCTTAATAACTTATCCTTATCTTCTATTGAACCCACTACACTGCTAAGCAAATGATTTCAAATACTCTCTTTCCAATCAATGTCTGTCTTGGTCTCTCTCTCTCAACAGTCACACACAATGTTTCTACTTACACTCTTTCCCTTTATCTGGAATTTCCTATACTTGTACAAATATCATTTATACTTCACTCTACACCAATCCCCCATTCTCTAAATTCTTATAGTAGAATCAGTATTATGAATGTAATATACTTCATTAAATTTTTTTAAAATAATGAAAAAAGGGCCTGGGATTGTGATGTAACTACTACAAGTGGATTAAAAATAATTTGCCTTAATCATGAAAGGAAACAGAAAAATATTTTCCGAATTTTCTTAGAATGCAGTGCTAATAAGGTTACACTGCTCAGTGTTTCTGTTTTAAAGATATTCTTAAAAGTAGTACCAGTAATATGAATCCATAAACCAACTTAGAAGTTGTCAACATTATGCTAATAACTGATATAAGCATTCTTACACTAAGAGAAGAAAAGGAATTATATAGCTCAGATGTTCTGAGGCATACATTTTGGAATATCTACTTCTTAATAATGCTTTTCAAAAAAGCAATATATGGGAGTATACCTCAGTGGTAGAGTATGTGACTAAAAAAAGCAATATAACTGTACTTGGTAATATCTAAAAATTAGCATGCTTTCAAAATATGTTAGAATTTAAGCCAGTTTTCAAAAACATTGTAATATTTTAAAAATTATGCAAACTGAATTACATACCTTGTGTCTTCCTTGAAGATTCATAGCTAGGCATAAGTTACATTTCAAACAGTGGAAAAAATCTTCCTTTGGACCAATCCTAACAAAACATATGAAAGCCAAATGATTGGATTATTTTTACTACACTGATAATTTGCTCATTATATAAAGTTTAATCTCATGGTTAAAAAAAAAAATAATACAAGCCACACTGAAGAATATGGGGTAAACCACCATCTCCCCAACATCCCTCTCCAAATGTAAGCTCTATGAACAGAAAGGTATCTACCCTTCTAAGGCTTTTTTTCTATAAAATATTACACACAGAGAGACGCACATACACATATATACGCACATATACTTTGGGTTTTATTTCTTACATAAATGGACTTATTCTACATATGCTGTTCTACAACTTTTTTTTTCACTTAACAATATATCCTGAAGATTATTCTGTCTGTTCTATATAGAACCACTTCATTCGTAATAGCTACACAGCATATTACATGGTATGGATATATCATAATTTTTTAAATATTCTCTCATTGATATAATTTACAACCTTTCGTTCCTACAATAATACAATAAATATCCTTGTCCAGACATCATTTAGCCAACATGTTGATTATTTTTTACAAGATTCCTAAAAGGGAAAATGTTCAGTCAGAGGCTATTGCAACATTAATTCTGATACTGCCACACTGACTTCCAAAAACAAAGTACCAATTTACAGTCCCACCAAGAGTGCATAACATGTTCCCTACACCTTGGCCAACAATGATGACCTATATGATAGACAAATAAAAGATGTCATTTTAATTTGCACTTCTGAAATTATGAGACAGAGAATATACTGTAATGTTTATTAACCATTTGGATTTCTTCTGTGGATCTGTTCATGTGCCCTGTCCATTTTCAACTAGGCTATTTATTTTTTACTGATTCACAGAAGGTCTTTATATATCCCGGGTATTAATCCTTTCTCTTTGTATTAATATATGTTACATTTACTTTTCTGGTTTGCCATCTCTCATAACTTTGTCATACAGCCATTTATAATCTCTGTGTAATAAAAAGCCATCAATATTTTCCTTTTGGCTTATGCTTTCTGCCTCTTGTTCAGGAAAGTCTTCTGCAAGCTATAGATCATAAACATATTCTCCTACATATACTTCCAATAGTTACAGCTTTTCATTTTTATTTTTCTTTAATCCATTTGACATTAGTTATGTATGGTAAAGGTTAGACTGCCAGTTGTCCCTAAATTTTTATTCTCTGCTTCTTCCACAATAATAGATCATTTAGCTAAGCACTGAGCTACTCAGACTTGTCCTGAATAAAGATTATTTTCCAACTTACTTGGAGGTTAATGAAAATTCTGTGTCCTCAAGAGAAAAGGGTTTGCCTAACCTTCCCTCGCCACTGGCCAAAATATGAGGCGTTTTATACTATATATACAAGGAAGTACCTTATGGATGACAGAGAAAAGATGAGGAGCCGGGGCTCCAGTTTAACCACCTGACTGAGCTATTTCCATGAGACAGGGACTTCGATCTTTCTTCAGCAACCACTATTTTGGGTTTCTGTCACAAGACGCTAAACCCATATTCTAATGAATAAAGTTTTAAGAGTCAATTCTTGTTTCCCAATGGATAATCAATTATCCTAGTTATACCCTTTCCTGATGTGAAATGTCACTTTTGCTATGAATTCGTATGTACACGTGTCTGTATACACTCACATACTCTATGTTTTTCCAATATATCTGTCTATCCCTGCACTTCTGAATTTGAATTACTATAGCTTTATCATGTTTTGACATGTGGAAAGGCAATCCCCTCTTTGTTGTTCTTCCTTTTCAAAATCTGCTTAACTACTGTGAATTTTCTCTCACAGAGGAACTTTAGAATAGCCTGTCAAACTCCATAAATAAACCGTGTAGAGAGGCTACTGCCCAAGATAAAATAACAGAGATCTACTCGCCCATCTAAAATGATGCCAAAACAGACAAACTATATGAAACAATAATTTCACTGATTATCAGGCAACAAAGGACTGTGATCTGTGAGAGACAGGAAACAAACCATGTGAGCCCTACAAGTGCCCCAGTTTACTGCCTCGAGTTTTCAGGCAGGACAGGTGAGAGGAACTAAGGCAGAGCCAGGAAGCCCTCATGATTAGGACAGAGAGCTGAGAGTCCGGGGAAATCAGACAGCTGGAGTTCACAGGACAGTATACCAGAGAGGAGAGAGCTGCATGGAGAAAACCCT